TACATGACACATTGAACACCATAAAGTGACCAAATAATTTTTAGTGCCCCAGAAGACAAAGGGAAAACAAAAAACCTACAAAGTCTACTCAAGGATATAACAGCTGAAAAATTCTCAAGTCTAGCAAGTGATCTAGACATCTAGGTATAGGAAGCTAAGGGGTCCCCAAACAGATACAATGCAAAAAGGTCTCCTCTGGTACATCACAATCAAACTATCAAAAGTCAAAGACAAAGAGAGAACTGTAAAAACAGCAAGAAAAAAAGCGTCAAGTCACATACAATGGAATCTCCATCAGAGTGAATTTCTCCAGAGAAACTGTATAGGCCAGGAGAAAATGGGATAAATATTCAAAGTGCAGAAAGAAAAACACTTTCAGACAAAAATACTATTTCCAGCAAAATTATCCTTCATAAATAAGGAAAAAGGCAGGTGATAACAAGCAAAAGCTGAGGGACTTTATCACCACTAGACTGGTCCTACAAGAAATGCTTAAGAGAGTCCTATACTTGAAAACAAAAGGATGATGGCTACCATCATAAAAACACACGGAAGTATAAAACCCACTCTTGGGAGGCTGAGGCACAAGAATTGCTTGAACTCGAGAGATAGAGGTTGCAGTGAGCCAAGATAACACCACTGCACTCTAGCCTAGGCAACACAGCAAGACTCTTATCTCAATTTTTTTTAATAAAAAATAAATTTAAGGCCAGGCGCGGTGGCTCATGCCTGTAATCCCAGCACTTTGGGAGGCCAAGGTAGGTGGATCATGAGGTCAAGAAATCAAGACTATCCTGGCCAACATGGTGAAACCCCGTCTCTACTAAAAATACAAAAATTAGCTGGGCGTGGTGGCGTGCGCCTATAGTCCCAGCTACTCATGAGGCTGAGGCAGGAGAATTGCTTGAACCCCAGAGGCAGAGGTTGCAGTGAGCCGAGATCACGCCACTGCACTCCAGATTGGTGCCTGGCGACAGAGCAAGACTTTGTCTCAAAAATAAATAAATAAATTTAAGACCCACTGGTGGAGCCAACACACAAATAAGGAAGTGGAAGAAGTCTAATGTTACCATTAAAGAAAACCACCAATCCACAATGATAAACAATAAAAAAGAGAACAAGGTACAAAGGATATATAAAACAATCAGAAATCAATAAAATGACAGGAGTAAGCCCTCACATATCAATAATAATCTTTAGAAAATAGATTAAACTCTGCATTTAAAACATACAGACTTTCTGAATGGACTAAAAAAACAAACATAACACAACAATATGCTGCCTACAAGACACTCACCTGACCTGTTAAGACACATATAGTCTAAAAGTAAAGGGACAGAAAAAAATACTCCATGCGAACAGAAACCAAAAGTAAGCTGGAATATACAGACTTTAAGTTAAAAATAGTAAAAAGTGACAAAGAAGGCCATTATATGACAGTGGGATCAATTCAGCAAGAAGATATAATAATTCTAAATATGCACCCAACACCAAAGCACTCAGATATATAAATCAACTTTTAGATTTAAAGGGAAAGATAGTCTCTAATAAAATAATAGTTGAGGACTTGAACACAGGATTCTCAGCTTTGGACAGATCCAGTAAAAAAAAAGTTAACAAAGAAACATCAGATTAAACTGCTCTCTAGACCAACTGGACCTAACAGATATTTACAAAACATTTCATCCAACAGCTGCGGAATACACATTGTTCTCATCAGCAAATGGAACATTTTCCAAGACAGACCATAGGTTAGGACACATAACAAGTCTCAAAAAACATGAAAAAAATGTATAAATTGTATCAAGTATCTTCTCAGACCACAGTGGAATAAAACTAAAGATCTCTAATAAGAGGAACTTTGGAAACTATACAAATACGTGGAAATTAAGTAACATGCTTCTGAACAACCATTGGGCCAAGGAAGAAACTAACTAGGAAATCAAACACTTTCTTGAAATAAATGAAAACAAAACATACCAAAACCTATGGACTACAACAAAAGCAATGCTAGGAGAGAAGTTTACGGTAATAAATGCCTATATCAAAACAGTAGAAAGATTTCAAGTAAACAGCCTAACGATGCACTTCAAGGAACCAGAAAAGCAAGAACAAATCAAACCCAAAATTAGTAGAAGAAATAATGAAGATCAGATCAGAAGTAAAAGAAAAAGAGACTTAAAAAATATGCAAAGAAGCAACAAGACAAAAAGTTGGTGTTTTGAAAAGATAAACAAGTAAATAAAACCACTTTCAAGACCAATCAAGAAGAAAGTAGACCCATGTAAATAAAATTAGAAATGAAAAAGGAGACATTACAGCTGATACTATTGAAATACAAAAGATCATCAAAGACTACTACCAACAACCATAAATCAACAAACTGAAAAACCTAGAGTAAAAGTTAATTACTGGACACATACAATCTACCAAGATTGAATTGGATAGAAACAGAAAACTTGCACAAACCAATAAAAAGTAATAATATCAAAGTGGTAATAAAAAGTCTCCCAACAAATAAAAGTTCAGGACCCACACAGCTTCACTGCCAATTCCACCAAATTTTAAATTAAGTAGAACTAACACCAATTCTCCTCAAACTGTTTCAAAAAATTGAAGAGGAAGGAATTGGAACTCTCAGCAAACTTAGAAGAAACATACCACAACATAATAAAGGCCACCTATGGCCTTTTGTGTTGATGATACTATCTCGTATCAAGAAAAACCTAAAGGCTCTACCAAAAAGCTCTTCAATTTGATAAATTCAGTAAAGTCAGGATACAAAATCAGCATACAAAAATCAGTAAATCGGTAGTGTTTCTATACACCAATAATGAACCAGCTGAGAAAGAAATAAAAAACACAATCCCATTTACAATAGCTCCAAAAACAACAACACTGTAAGAATAAATTTAACAAACGAGGTAAAATATTCCTATAAGGAAAACTGCAAAGCACTCATGAAATAAATTAAAGGAGGAGACAAATAAAGGAAAGACATCCCATGATCATGGATCAGAAGAATTATTATTGTTAAATGACCATACTCCCCAAAGCAATCTACAGATTCAGTGTAATCACTATCAAAGTACCAACATCATTTTTCGCACAATTAGAGAAAATAATCCTAAAATTTGTATAAAGTCAAAAAAAGGGCCTGAATAGTCAAAGCAATCCTAAGCAAAAAGGACAATGCTGGAGGCATCACATTGCCTGACTTCAAAATATATTATGAAGCTATAGTAACCACAACAGCATGGTATTGGTATAAAGGCAAACACACAGACCAAGGGAACAGAATAGAGAATCCAGAAATAAATCCACATATTTACAGCCAACCAACTTTTGGCAAAGGCACCAAGAACATACATTGGTAAAAGAGCAGTCTTTTCAATAAATGGCAAGTGCTAGGAAAACTGGATATCCATATGCATAAAAATGAAGAATGAAACTGGACCCCATCTCTCACCACATACAGAAACCAACTCAAGATATATTAAAGACTTAAACATAAAACCTACAACTGCCAAAGTACTAGAATAAAACCTAGAAAAAATATTTTAGGACATTGGTCTAGATGAAAATTTTAGCATTAAGACCTCAAAAGTGCTGACAACAAATACAAACAAATGGGCCTCTATTAAATTAAAAAGCTGTATAGTAAACAATCAACAGAAGGGACAATCTGTAGAATAAGAGAAAACACTTGTAAACTGTTTGCTTGACACAGGACAATATCCAGAATATACAAGGAATTCAACTTAACAATAAAAAAAACGATACCATTAAGAAGTAGGCAAAGGACATGAATACACATATTTCAAAAGAAGATATACAAATAGCCAACAGGTATATGAAAAGTACTCACCATCATTAATCAACAGGGAAATGCAAGTCAAAACCACAATAAGAAATCATCTTACCTAAGTTAGAACAGCTTTTATTAAAAAGACAAAAAGTAACAGATGCTGGCAAACATGCAGAGAAAAGAGAACTTGTACACTGTTGGTGGGAACATAAATTAGTAAAATCGCTAAGGAAAACAATACCGAGAATTCTCAAAAAACTGAAAATAGAACTACCATAAGATCCAGCAATCCACTACTGGGTATTTATCCAAAGGAAAGAAAAAAATCAGTACTATCAAAGGGATACCTGAACTTACATGTTTATCACAGCACTATTCACAATAGCAAGGATACAAAATCAACTTAAGTTTCTATCAACAGATGACTGGATTTTTAAAAATTGGTACATATACACAATGGAATAATACTATCAGCCATAAAAAGAAAGAAATTTTGTCATTTGCAGCGACATGGATGGAACTGGAGGTCATTATGTTAAGTGAAACAAAACAGACACAGAAAGACAAATACCATATTTTATCTAACTCATGTGTGGGAGCCAAAAAAGCTGATCTCATGGAGGTCAAGAATTGAACGATAGATACCAGAGGCTGGGAAGGGTACATGGGTAGAGGCAAGGGATGAAGAAAATATAGTTAATGGTTATAAACATAACAGTTAGAAAAAATAAATTATAATGCTTAGTAGCACAATAGGGTGACTACAGTCAGCAACACTGTATATTTTAAAGTAACTAGTAAAGAGGACTTGAAATGTTCATAGAAATGATAAATACTCAAGGTGATGGAGATCCCAAATACTCTGATTTGATCATTATATATTATATGCATGTAACAAATATTCCTATGTGCCCCATAAATATGTAAGATATTGTGTATCAATAAAAATTACAAATATGATGCCTACAGTCATATAAAAATACTATTTTGTTAATTTTTAAAAACAGGATACAAAACTGTATGTACTTTGTACCTGATTATAAATACTTTAAAATTGCATAGGCATATGTAAGTATTAAAAAGCATGGGTAATTTTCTCCTTTGATTTCTAAACTTTCTATAACTTTTAGAATTACATTCAGAATTAGGTAATATATTCATAAATGTTACTTTACATTAAAAATATACTTACTGTGATGATGCCAATTAGTTGAGTGTAAAAGAGTCCAGTTATTCCAACTAACATAGTAATGCCCATAAAGGCAGCTAGTCTCATTATGGCCAATTCATGTCTAACAACAAAGAGATCCTATAAAGGAAAATAAAAAGAAAGCCTTAAAAACAATTCAGAGTTGCTTATATTGCTTACAGTTGCAATAATAATCAAGAATTGAGCCATAACACATCTTCCTTATTATCTTAAAAGAACTGTCTCTCCCTCTTTTAAACTTGTTCTATTTAAAACAATGTATAAATACTTGAAAATTTCAAAAATAGGTATTTTAATTTACAATAGCAAGCTGAAAAATATAGAAATTTACTCCTCTATTGCATCAAAACTCCTCTATCTTGGAATTGCAAGTTAGCCTTGTTTGTTTTTTGAACCGATTTTAGCCAAAAAGAAAGAAAAAAAGAAAAAGAGCCCCAAAACAAAACACAGATGGCTGTACAATCTTTGGTCTACAAAACAAATTTTATTATTTTTCTGCTGAAAAGTTTGCATACACAAGCATGATTCATATTATTAAAGTTCAAGTGACAAGAGATCTAGAAATTATTAACATAGTCAAAATGAAGGTAAATTATATATAATAGGATCATAAGAACAGCTCTCTTCAAGCCTACTTCATTCATTCTTCCATCCAGTCATCCAACCACCACTGTCAAGCACTGTGTTTACACATCAGAAATGTATAAATGATAAAAATATGGTCCATAACTTCAAGAAGTACAGAGTTTATTTAGAAAGAGAGCCCAACTTTGCAAAACTCCGAAACAATATGATCTATTCTATAATGGCGATGCATGCAGAGTACTATAGAAACATAAAAGAATGCCTAGATTGAAGGGAGGAATTGAAATGCTGTGAGTGAAAGGCAGGTCTTCTGGCTCAGAGATTGAAAATGAGGGTCCTGAAAGTAAACCAAAGATACTGCGGTAGGAGGACAGGAAAATGAGAAGCATTTCATTCACCCTCACTGTTACCAACCAACCACACTAGAGGAAGGAGAGAGAACTAGAGAACTGAGACTTCTCCTGGAAACCTGCTCTTGCTAAGATGTGGAATAAAACCACCACAGAAAATAAAAGCACCACGTGGATGGAAGGACACCCAAACACAACCATCCACATGCTTTCTTTTATACTGATTCATGTTAAGGATTAAAGTATCCTAATAGCAATTTGAAAAATAGGAAGGCCACCAGAGGATAGTATGCTTGCTTGAAACCAAAAAACTGTTACTTTTCTGTGAGTATACTCAGGCAAAAATCTGATTCCATATCCACATTACTTATTCATTAGTCTAGAGAAACTCAGAATTCAGCAAGACACTTAAAACAGTATGTAGCAGACAAATATTAGGTAATAATTTCAAAACTTCAGTAAAAAGAACCCAATTCAGAATCCTTATAAAACATATAAAACCTAAATGATAGGCCTGTGGATGATATAAAAAATCAATTACATTCTACATTAATGCTACTTAAAAACACAAAATTGTTTCAATTAAACAACAGTTAGACCGCAGCAATAATTGTTTCTTACGCATGATTTTATCTGTGAAAAAAATCCTAAACACAAAAAATTGTATCCAGATGAACCAAAATATGCAGGAATATACAAAACACACTCACCCGTCAACCATCTACCAGCCACCTCAGGTTATCTTCCATGCTATGAGCCACACCCACTCACATCTATTATTACAACTTTCCCTCCAATTTCACAGACCCTCCTTCCATCACTTCACAATAATTCACATTCTGCAACCTTCCTGAAGCTCAGTTCCATAAGAAAACTTCAGGTCTTTTTCCAGGTAAAGTGCCATGTTTACCATAGTATGGTTTCTTAATCATTTAACATTTATAAAAGACTGCTGCTATTTTTATTAGGTTCTTATCCTCTTAAGTGTCATAGACAAAGTTTCTGAGTGCTGTGCCCCCCTTCCCTGAGTAAGCCCTGTGGTTTTAATGCATGGTTTTACAGAGTGAAGTGATTTTTAGGAATGCACATATTGCATTATAGCAGAGCTTACTGTACTAAAATTACCATCTATGACCAACTAAAATCCAACCACTCTTCTCCCAGTGAAAAGATTTTAAAATAATTTTTGGCCAACTACAATTTATAAATGTCAAGGATGGAGATGAGACTAAAAGATCTACTTATAATATTACATTTATTCATTTGGGTATACATTTATATTTAAAGTATTTATGTAAAATACAGTAGTAAAAAACTTTAATCTAGAAATTGCTTTTTATCACTTTTACATTTTCAAAAAAACAACTGTATTCCAAGTTCACACATGCATAATTAACATCATCAGCACTAAATCCATATTTTGAGTCACTTAACACTGTTCTCTAGAGTACATCTTTACTTCTGTCTTAGATTTTTTTAGATTTAACACTTTTTGAATCCAAAAATTGGCTTTAAAATTTTTATCCAAATCACAGGAACCCATTTGCTATCCCAGATCTGTACTACATAATCAGTGTTATGGGTCCCCAAAATTCATATGTTGAAGCCCTAACCCCTATACCTCAGAACGTGACTGTAGTTGGAGACAAGGCTTTTAAAGCAGTGACTAAAATAAAATGAAGCCCTTAGAATGGGCACTAATCCAATCTTGACTGGTGTCTTTATAAGAGGAGGAAATTTGGACACACTAAAGACACCAGGGATGTTCCCAGGGCAAAGACTATGTGAGGACAGAGAGAAGGTGGTTATCTGCAAGCCAAAGACAGAGGTGTCGGGATAAGACAAACTTGCTGTCATCCTGATCTTGGCATCGTAGCCTCCAGAATGCGAGAAAACAAATTCCTGTTGTTTAAGCAACCCAGTTTGTTATATTTTGTTAAGGCAGGCCTCGCAAACTAATATAATCAATAAATGTATTTATTGTTTACATTTCTTCCATTTTTGTTAAGAAATGTGCTTACATGCAGATAAATTCGTAAAACATATGTTCAGTTTAAAGAAAAGTAACACTGGGCCAGGCACAGTGGCTCACGCCTGTAATCCCAGAACTTTGGGAAGTTGAGGTGGGTGGATCACCTGAGGTCAGGAGTTCGAGACCAGCCTGGCCAACCTGCTGAAACTCTGTCTCTACTAAAAAAAAAAAAAAAAAAAAAAAAAAAAAAAAACTTACTTAGCTGGGCATGGTGGCGCATGCCTGTAGTCCCAGCTACTAGGGTGGCTGAGGCAGGAGGATCACTTGAACCTGGGAGACAGAGGTTGTAGTGAGCTGGGATTGTGCCACTGCACTCCAGCTTGGGCAACAGAGTGAGACTCTGTCTCAACAAAAGAAAAAAGAAAGAAAGAAAAGAAAAGTAACAAAATCCTCTCAAAAATTACAACATCTGAAACCAAGTAGAGGCTCCTATATATTCCTTCCTCATTGCTAGCTCTCCCTTAACCTAACCCAAAATAAAGGTTACTAACTATTCTTCATACATTTTGGATATGGCTATGTTTCAGTTGCATATTGCAAATATCTTCTGCTGCTCTGAGACTACCTGTTCACTCTCTTTATGGCATCTTTTTATAAACTCAAGTCTTAATTTTAAGTAGTCGAATGTATCAATCTTTTCCTTTAGTCCTTTTTATATCCCATTTAAGAAATCTTTCCTGATGCTAAAGTAATAACGGCATTCTCTTATATTATCTTGTAAAGCCTATTAAAAGTTTTATAAGTTTTGCCTTTCACATTTAGGTCACTAATTCACATAGAATTATTATTTAATTTTTTGTGCACAGTAAAAAAGAGATCTGAATTTACTTTTCATATATGAATATTCAACTGTTCCAGAATGATTTTTAAAAAGCTGTCGTTTCTTCAGTGATCTGAGAGCAAGTATCCACACGTGCATGGGCTCTCTACTCTATTCCCTTGGTTTATTTGTTTCTCCCTGTAACAGTGACAAACGTCTTAGTTATTACGGCTTTGTAAAAAGTCCCAATACCTGGTAGGCCATGTCATCTGATCTTATTCTTTTGTAAAAATGTCTTGATTATTCCAGATAATTTGTATTTGCATAAAACTTTTAAAGATAGATTTTTCAAGTTACAACACATACTCAGGCATACATTCACATATAATAAATTCTCTCCATTATCTTTCATTAAAATTCTCCTAAAGGCCTTGCACTTTCTTTGTCAGATTTCATTTAGTAATTTCCTGTTTTTTTTGATTCTATTATAAATGGCATTTGCTATTAATTTCATTGTCTAAAGGTTTATGAGCATATAAAAACATAACTGATTTTTTAAAATAGTTTCATAGTCACTTTTTATACTTTCTTAAAAACCCAAGGAATCTGTAGATAAATCATTTGCACAATTATACCATCTATGTGTAATTACAATTTTATTTCATTTAGCAGTTGTACCTCTTCTTTCTTTCTCTTGTCTTACTGCGTTGGCTAGAATTTCTAGTGCTATGTTTAACAGTAACAATGGTGATAGTGGGCATCAATGCCTTGTGCCCCAAACCCGGAGGGAAGAAGTCAACATTTCATCTTAGCATACTGCAGTTGGTTGACATTGTGTTTTTTTGTTCAAGGGTGTGGGGGGGAGAAAGACCATTTATCTGATTAAGAAAGTTCTAGTTCTAGTTTACTAAGAGTGTGTAAAATGAATAACTGCTGAATTTTATCTTTGTCTTCACACAATGAGATGCTCGTTTGAATTTTTTTTCCTAATCTGTTAATGTGATAAAATGTACTGACTGATTATCTGGTGCAAAACAACCTTTCATTCCTAGGATAAACTCAGCTTGGTCAGGTTCCTTATATATAACCACACTACGTTTGCTTATATTTGTTTAAAAGTTGTTCCTCTATGTTCATAATCAGATTAGTCTAAATTTTCTTTTGTTCATAATCAGATTAGTCTAAATTTTCTTTTTTTCTTTTATTTTCATTGATAGGTTAGGGATCTAAGACATACTACACACATAAAATGAGCTGAGGAGTATCTCCTCTTTTTCTGTTTTGAAAGAATTTATGTAAGATAGACATTATTGTTTCGTTACATGTTTGATAAAGTGAGAACTCAATAGTAAACCTGTATATATTCTTTGAA